CCCGGTTTTGGGGTCCCCCCCCCCCCCCCCCCCCCCCCCTCTATATCATCGTCGCCTTCCTTCTTTCTCCCCCTCACCTCTCGTGAGTTGGAGTAGTCGATGAGCGACGGCTGCGTCGCCATGCGCGGCGCGTACTCCCTGATCACGTACCCCAGCGCCCGCTTCACCACCCTGTACGGCGGTTTCTCGGCGGGGGGAGAGCCCAGCTGGTGCCAGATGTCCCAGAACCCCGGCACGAGGTGCTTCAGGCCCAGCGTCACCGGGTTTCCCTCCCAGGTGTCGGTGATCTTTACCACCTGCGATCGTCACGAGGGTACGGGCAGTAGGGTGCTGAGCGGAGACCGGAACGGGTTCAAAGGTGTAGTAGACCATTAACAAACAACGACAAATTATGTATATAGTCGGGAAACAAAAAAAACTGGATTCGATTCCGGGACAGAGCGTGGCCGTGTATCGAAATGCTAAAGCATAACAGCAGTTTCAATGTGTATAGTACCCCGCGCGGTGGTCTTCCGTACAACCAAAATCTGTATGGTAGCGCAACCACCACCCAAGCACGCAATACGCCAAGAAACGGCCCATCGGTGTGAGAGCGACGCAGAACTTTCATGACGGATGGACTCCCCCCCGCGAGTCTATGATTTGTGGACGTCCGTCACGGATGGGGGCTGCGGTCAACACCACCAATTGATCGCCAAAAACAGCAAAGCGGTATCAAGGTTTAATCCAAACCACTGCTGTGTCATACTCCAAATGAGTGTGTGGCCGTCGACAGGGACTAGTGCCGGGTGGAGTTCAGACGACCACAATACACGCTACGTTTCTAGCGAGAGGCGAGTGCCACGGAGGCGGCGAGATTGGTGTCGTTTCGTACGCGTGTTCAACTACTGCCGTAGTGCGGCGAGAAGATCCAATACTGTCGGTATTTTAGCCGATTTACCGCGGTCGGCATGAGGAAGAGACGTCAGGCACCAAACCCCTCCTCTCGTGTTCTACGGTTACCTCTACTACACCCCTCCCGCCGTTTTCAATTATTTTTCTTATTTATGTTCTAAATATGACCCAACGAATCCATCTCTATCGAAGAGAAAAGTCCCAGATAGATTAGCAATGAATTCAAAGCGTCAGAGAAGCTGCCTGTATTTCCACGATTTCCCGAGCAGCACACAGCGATATCTCCCCTGTGGGCAACAGGCTCAACAAGACAGTTTGGTGGCCGTCTTGTGCATCTATCTGTACGTCGTCTCTCACTTACCCTCCACACACCCCCCTCTCTCGTTGTACGCATCACGAAACTACCCAGAGTGCATCAGCAAGAAGCTATCCGAATAAGAACTGGAGGAGGAGGAGGAGGAGGAGGAGGCCGAACACACCACAAAAACTTGCCTCCTTTTCCTCTATAGGTATGGTATGCATAGAGTTGTGTGAAAAATGTGAAAGCACGATGCCACTAAATACCAAGATCAGGTCAGACGCACCCCAGTACAGCTACCGGAGATTGCATAAGATACTACACCGGCCGATTTTCAAAGCTCGGTTACTACTCCAAAGCAGAAACAGCGCCCGTGGCGGTGCTGAAACCGTCTCGTCGAGAGAACTTCACGAACTGTGCATCCTCTCCTCGTCGTGAAGCACTCTTTGAAAATCGGTAAAAATGGGGGGGGGTTGGTATCTTGCGTCACCCACGGTAATTTCCACGATCCAAACGCCCCGAAATCAGAGCCCCAACAACAACAACGCCAAACCCACGCAACACAGCACACACCGCGCCGTGGCGGCACCCTACCCTACCTTGCCATCGGGACCAGTCTGCAGCGTCGACGCCCCCTTAACGATAAACCTCGGCAGCCACGGCAACGGCCACGTCCCGCTGGCGACCCACTCCAGCCTCTTCGCCCCGTCCTTCGACGCGAACACCGACAGCCTCGGGGCGTTGAGCAGGCTCCCCAGCCCCCTCAGCTCCTCCTCCACCTTGGCGAGGCCCGCGTTGTTGCCCAGCGGCCCCCGCCACTCCACGCCGGGGGCCAGGACCTGCCGGAGGACGCCCGGGTCGCCGCGCATGGCCCGGTTGACCCCTTCCTCCAGGGCCTTGTCGAGAGTTAGCGGGAGCTCGTCGTCGTCGTCGTCGATGTCGTCGTCTTTTCGGGGAGCAGCGACGGGCGCTGAGGCCCCACTGCTGCTGGTGGCGACGACTGGTGCATCTGCCGTTGCTTCTGCTGCAGGACCGCTGCTGCTGCTGCTGCTGCTGCTCTCATCCGCTGCCATCATCATGCGCACCCCCAACGTCGTCGTGGTGCTCCTCCTCCCGGTTCGACTATTCGCATTGTTGTAGCGTTTTCCCTCTTCCAGATCTCCGCGTGCCAGGGCACGTGTTCGTGTCTGGCACTGCCGTGCCAGGGCACGTGTTCGGGACTGGCACTGCCGCGGTTGGCTTCGTGCAACTCGGTCGGCTGCTGCTGTTGCTGTGTTACCAGCACGGCGGGCAGCTGCTGCTGTTGCTGCTGCTGCTGTTGCTGCTGTGTGCGGTGTTGAAGGCAGAAACGCCAGGGTCGGGCAGGAACATGACAGGAGTGTCAGGGCTGCCGTGAAGGCCCTTCTTCGCCGCGGAACCATGCCGACCAACCCCCTTCCCTTTGGATGCAATTGAAGCGACGGGATGCAGGAAGACGCACAGCGTAGAGCTCCCTAAAGTAGCCCAACGCTGCCAAAGTCGTAGCGGAGCGTGTGTGCTACATGAGCTTAGCTTCACCCGCCCCGTGGGATCATTTCTATACGAATCTGGTCCCCTATATGATACGAGGTATACTGCTAATCGCGTACCCCCTAAGCTGCTGTGAGCGCGCGTGCTTCCCTTGTTGTTCCTGTTCCACCAACGACAGCAAGCAAGGTCTGGTCTCCTTTGCTCGTGGTACACCATGGCTCAGCGCGGTGTAATTCAGGTGTGTATGCCGGGGCGAAATCGAAAGCAGGCACGGTGTGTAGCCGTGGCATTGGCGATTGCAAGAGAGCTAGACCAAACCCATCGAACCCTCCCATCTTCCTCTGTGATCCCCCCGCTGTGTGTGAGCGTTCGTAGCTCCTGCTAAGGTCGTTCGCTGCATATGATAAGCCCGAAACCACCCGGCTGTCATGGATAAATGCAAGGGGCGTTGATCGCACACGGTTCCTCGGGTTGTTTGAAGAGGAAAACCAACCGCTGCTGCAACTTACTCCCCGTAGGTTCAGTGCCAACCTTCTGTAGACTAGTTGCTAGCTGCATCACTGCTGTACTCGGTTCCAAATGCCCCCACTGCTTGTAAGAGCTGCAGCACGGCAACACCGTAGCAACACCGCCCGCCTCCCACCTCACGCTCTAAGGAAGGAGATGTTGCCACAGCAGTCAACCTCTGCACCCTGCTTTCAGTCCGTTTTGGTGGTCCTCATACATATGGTCGTATGTACACATGCGGAGGAACACCGAGAGGGGTACACCAGCGGTACCATGAACTTACAGCTGCTTTGTACACCGTCCGTACGTACGCCACAAGCGCGATATCCAGTGGTTTGGTTTAGGGCGAGAGGCAACACTGATACTCTCTGCATACCCAGCAGGTCGTCGCGCTCCCGTCCGAGAAAATGTTTAGGTTGCACCCTTTTGCGACCTCTATCTACAAGCTGGGCCGAGAAAATGTTTAGGTTGCACCCTTTTGCGACCTCTGTCTACAAGCTGGGCCAGCCAAGTTGCATGCAAAATGGTTGAAAACGATTTACACCACGATTTCTACGAATTAGAACCTGAAATTTTGACATGTGGTCGGTATTAATAGTATTAATAGTACAACCAAGACGTTGACTGGAAGCACCCTTTTTTTTTTTTTTTCATGAGGTAGCCCTATTAAAGGACAAATGGTGATCCTTTTTTTGTACATGGGGGACTAAAAAAAAAGAGGGTGCATCCAGTCAAGGTCTTGGTTGTACTAAGGCCACTTGTTAAGCTGTCCTTTTTTGGGCTGTCTTTTTCGCAAAAAGGGACAACTGGCCGAAGAACCACTTGTTACGTTGTCTTTTTTTGCATTTTTGGACCTTCGAAAAAGGGAAAGAAGAAAAAGACAGCGCCATCCTGTCTCTTTTCGGGCAACTTTGGGACAGGATGGGACTGTCTTTTTTTGTTGCCCTTTTTCTGTCACAACACATGACACTTGCCCACAAACTTGAATATCTCGACGGATGATCCCCGCAAACTCTAACGGTATTCGCACGAGTCGTGTCATGTGACTGGTACGGAGTCAGTAGCCTCGGCGATAGACGTAATGTTGTCATTCGGCTGACCAGGTGGACAACCCGATGTGTGCGGCAAACAAGCGGTAAACGAGCCGAAAGAGCCTGGACGCACCAGCGGTGGGTCTTTTTGGTGCACAGTCAACTTTTGCGAACCCAACTTGTGGGCGACCTATAGCGTCCTGGTCTGTATCAATCACCACACAAGACGAATCAGACGCACAGCTCATGGCGGATACCTTTGTCATCGCTGTTGCTTCGGTATGTGACGAGGGAGCATCGATGAACCAAAGTTGCAACACGGGAAAAAGAACAAAAAATATGCTTGGAGACGCGGCGGGTCATTTTTCCCGCTTGTCCACCACTCTCGCGCTCACAACCTCTGACCTCCCGTCAGCCTCCTGGTCTGTATCAACCACCACACAAGACGGACCATACACATAGCTCGTGGCGGATACCTTTGTCATCGCTGCTGTTTCAGTGTGTGGCGAGGGAGCATCCATGAACCAAAGTTGCGGCATGGGCAAAAAAGAGCAAAAAAAGCTGGTTGTTGGCGCGGTGGGGTTTTTCAAGGTGCTGTTGACTCTCGCCACCTCGGTTGCCGTGCCTCCCACTGCCCTGTGGTCTCGATCAGCCGCCACACAAGGCGGACCAAGCACCCAGCTCGCGGTGGATAGCTTTACAGTTGCTGATGCTTCGCTCTGTGCGGAGATATCACCGAAAAACCAACTCGGTGCCAAGGTACTTATTGTGTGACGAACGGCCGTTGCACTTGTTGCAGGGTCATTTTTTTTGGCGGATGAGCAAAAAGGATCGACCAGCACCGTAACAAGGGGTCATCTTTCTTGCTAGATTATTTTTTGGTTCGTCCCTTTTTGAGAAAAAGACAGCCCAAAAAAAAGACAGCTTAACAAGTGGCCTAATACCGACCACATGTCAAAACTTCAGATTCCAACTCGTAAAAATCGTGGTGCAAATCGCGATATCCTCATATTCCCTCAGCTATCTTGTTTTTTGTATTTGAACCTTTACGAGGTCATAACTTCTGATGGAAGATGAATTGAGCCCTGTAACTACCATCTACACCCTCGCACTGCTCTCAGGTACGTGCACACCAAATTCCAGCTTGATCTGAAAAACCGTTTTTTTATACTGATTTCAGTACCAGAGGGATCGGGTACTACGCAGTCAATTGATCGTGAAATACCTAAATCAACTCAGATTCGAAAAATTCTGGTACCTGCGGTTCCCCTATTATTGTCTTGTACGAGCAGCTGTCAAATTTCAAGCCTAAACTCGTTTCAACGGCAGCGTGAGACGTCAAAGAACACAAGTGACCTTCTTGGCTGGCCCAGCTTGTACATACTTCGTATGAAGTAGTACAGCAGTGACACTCCCCAAGCGTATATGTATCGCATATTACAACCTCTATGCATATGTACTGTAGTATTTACGGCAGTGACACTCCCCAATCGTATATCGCAGACAAACAACAACAGTCAGACTGATGGACTACAATTCGCCAGCAGTAGGACAGCAGCAGCCGAGATGCGGCGTTTATTTGTGCACGCACAACAAGTCAGTAGTCTACGCAGGTTTTTCCAATAAAGTATAGCATCGGCGAAGTGGGGGTTACTAGGGTCTGCGCGCCCCGTGCGTGGTCATTTTTTGCGTAGCCAGTTAATAAGTGCCCCGTTACCGCCAGCATCGACGAGAGCAGAGCTCAGGCCATGGCTCCGGCATGCAGCAGGCAGAGACAGACGAAGAGAACGATTGGAGGCATCGATCGCATGACCGCCGCAGCGGTTTGATGATCGCTAGTTCCTTTCTTGCCTTCTCAAGCAACAGACTCACGTTTGCCTTCTCTCTCACACCCCCGATCCTCTCACCGCCGTCCGCTGTGTCTTACTCCATCCACAAAATACGTGCGCGTACGCGTGACGCAACACAGGGTCAAATATTTCTGGACTCGTTCAACCCCATCCTGCAGAATGCCATCAAGCCGCGACTCATGGAGGGGAAACGAGAGCCGTGCGAGCTCAAGGTTTCCGACTTCGACGATGTCATGTACACCGTAGAGGTGAGAATACAAGTATACGAAGAAGCACCGTCCATTGGCATGGCGTAGCATGCCTCCCGCCCCCCCCGCCCCAAGGTTCATCCTCGTGAAACGTGGCTTGGGCCGGCGATATCTCTCCGTCCCGGCATTGTAGGTATGAGAGATCACTGGTCTAGTACTGTACTAGGTATGCGAAGTGTGTGTATAGGCGAAAAGGTGGTGTCGTGCAATGTGCCGTCAGATCAACACACGCGGTGCAATTACAGCCCACGGCAAAAAAAAAATGTCAGATGTAAACCTCCAGCTGAAATTGCTACGCACAACATTGCGGACGGTGACTCTGCTGGATGTGACCGATGGATAGTACTGCTGTAGTTCACCCCATGACCACTGCAGGACACCTCCTTCTAGCTACGTCAGGATCCTGTGTCACGGGTATACAATGTTCCGGTATGGTAGGATCAAACGGACTTTATCTTGTTGAACGACATTGAATGTTATATTTGCGTGATGAGCGGCCCAGCATTTGTCATGTGTAGCATTTCCCCAAAAGAAACGAAGAAAGAAAAAATCGAGGGACTTGGGTTGATTTTGCGGTTCGACATCTCTGGTGCGGATGTGAACACCCACGATCCAACGGAGAGGAAGGGTAAAGGTATTACTCCTCTGTATCCTGACACACAGCCTTAGCGTTTCTGCCTCCACGAGTGTTAAACAATTTTACCATTTTTGTCCATTGTTGTACGGCAACCTCGAAGTGTCACTCACGACCTTTACAGTAACTTTACCATTTTTGTCTATTGTTGTACGCAACCTCAAAATGTCACGTACGACCTTCACAGTATCCTTTGAACGGAGTGTCAACTGGTGGAATCGGGTCGCTGGCCCGTAGAAATGATTTTCATTGGCGGTTGGAGAGTAGCCAGTCAAAAATGAAGATGAAGTGGAGGATGAAAGGCGTGTGCTGTTATCGAAAGTGCAAGTAACTACTCCAAGCGTGATAGAGACCGCATCGTAGCGTCAGCCCTAAACCGTGAGAAAGTTTGATGGCATACCTGTGGACCAACCGATGAAGAGAAAGAAGCGATCGGTATCCTGGGCGACCCGGTTCCACCAGTTGACATTCCGTTCGCTTCTCTACACGAGTACAGCCCCCCCCCCCAAGTCTCGGGGAAAAATCAGTCACCGGGCGGTTTCTCGTTCCCCACTTGTTGAAATTCTGTTCCAGATTTGTTTGGGTGGCTTTTGGGTACCCCCCGAACAACATCTTTCGATTTTCGCCTCGCGCCCCCCCCCTACCCCCTGCATGTAACTCTCACGGCATTCCGCGATGCTTATGCTTCCCTTGCCGTACTGCTGTCGCGGTCTGTGTTTCTCTCAGGTCCCACCAAACAGCCTCAGCACGCTGTCCCTATCCATAGCCATCAACGGCTGGGATCAGATCTCCAGGTGCGGTGAAAAGGAGGAGCGTGCGGGCTAGAACACGCTTCTTCTTTCTGACGGTTAGGTTTGTTGGTGCTTCCATCGGAACGGTTGTTGTTGTTGTCGTCGTTTTTTTTTTTGTTGTTGTTTTCGTGTGTTTGTTTGGCTTTACGATTTGGTTCCGGGGGGCAAAGGAAGTCGAAGCGGACCGTCAATTACGTAAAAACCACGCGTACAGGTCGCTCGCGCTCAAGAAGCAGCAGCAGCAGCAGCACTGTGACAACGTCCATCCTGTGCACGATCCCCTCTCTCTCAGTTCGTAGGCAGACAAGGTGATGGGATAGGATAGACAGCATATAGCCCTGCAAGCGGTGACAAACGTTGTAAACCACGCCAAAAGCCTCAAAACATCCCCCCTCTACGGATTTTTTTTTTTCACCCCTTCCACCACCTCATCGATTTAGTTGTAGTAACCCTCCCCCCTTCTCTCCCGATGGTATACCAGCCAAGCCAATGCAAAACATGACTACCCCCCCCGCCTCCCCCGCCCCCTTCTCTCTTAATGTCTAACAACAACACTGATACCCCCCCCCTCCCCTTCCCGCGCTCCAGCAACGGTGGTTCGGAAATGCTGGCGACGAAGTACCAGGGGATGGTATCTCCCCAGGTGCGTCCAGGGCACAACCTGACGATCACCACAAACCTGGATAACCCGACCGTGCCTGCGG